GAGTCATTAAAGTAAAGTGTAATGAACAAAAAGTCAAAGGAAAAAAGAAAAAGAAAAGAGAAAAGCATAGTGAAGGCATAGTGTCAATCAAATCATTCACCATTATATAGAGAGAAATGGAAAAAGTGTGGCCATCACATGAGGGTAAAAATAGATTTACATAGTAATTTTAAAAAATCATTGGTAGAAGGATTGCATCAACATAGGAATTGAGACAGAAAATATTACATAAAAGATATTATAAATTATGTTCGGAAACTGGTCCGAGAAAATATTTTACGAGGAGATCGCCCACCGATTGGGCCATGACATACTCTTGTCAAAGCAACCTTTTATACTAAGCATCTCCCTTAAACTTGAATTAGTTCATATACCTCTCAGCTTGAGCCCGGAATATAAAGCAAATATCATGGACTTATGACACCATTATATTATTACACCTTGGGCGGTGGTAGAGCGTCAACAGCTTCTTATGTAGTCTATCAGTAAATAGTCTTATGCTGCAGTGGAAAGTTGAGTCGATGGACCAATAGTCGGGTAGGTCACCCGAATATTCCTTCATTAAGGATCGAGGAACAAATCAGATGATCATACCTGATCCACCAATGTGACTTAGCAATGGTTTTCTTCTTTTCACCTTTTCGGCGGTATCGCTCCTTTGGTCTCGAGAGTAGCATGAAGTATATCTTTATTAGGGGAACTAACCCGGGGATTTGGCACATTCTTGGTGATAGCGCTTGGAAATCGATCAGGTTAAATGAAGGAGAGTTGAGCAAACATGGAAAGTAAAGTGTCATATCATGATTTATTTATAAGGATCAAAGGTGCAAAAATCAAGGGAGTTCAATTTTTAAACCATTGATTAAGAAGAAATGTTATCTATTTTTCACAATAAATTCTCCTATTCTCAAGAATAGAATCAGAAAATTAAAATATATACATAAGAAATGTGTTAACGTTAATCCTTAAGGAATCTAACAGTTTAGAGAAGAAAAGTACGATGAAAGAGGGCACACCAATAAAAGTCCAGAAGACATACTTACTAACCAAATGAAGCCATCTGATTTAAAGCCAAAGCCAACTGGATGCAGCAATCCAAGCCAATTATAAAACCGACTGATCCACGAGAATGACAAATAGATGACAAACTGATACACCTCTGAATCATTAGACTGAAATGAGACAAATTAGTATCTGAGCCAAACACTAAAAGGAAGCCAAACCTATACCTACCTTTCGGTGGATCCAGTTAGAGAAAAGATACAGTTTCAAAATATCGCCAAGCATCGATGGACATCCTTGAGGCTCCTCATTAGGGATCAAGGTTTAACAATGCAGCACATATTCATCCCTCGGGCTCTCATTGTTAGAGAGCGAACTAGATATTAGGCTACGGTGTTTCATCCTCAGTTTGATAGTTTAGTGTCGCTCTGCCAATAAGAGTACCTCACAAGGAATCAAGAGTCGAAAGCTACACTAAATCAAATGAACGACAACCTTAACCAAGCCTAGCCAACCGAGATAGCCCTATCAATACAAAGCCAATCAAGCTCTGGCGACCAACAATGCTGACTAAGCCTAGCCGATCGAAAAAAGCCCTATCGAACTGAAGCCAAACAAGCTCTGCCGACCGAGACAGAGCAGCCGAACGAAAGGTGCATACAAGTACCGATAATTACCCTGTACAACACTCACTAAAGCAAGGGGTAAAAATATAACATTATCATATTGTGCACTCTCCTATAAATAACGAGATAATTTTATGAACAA